CCCTGTGCGACTGGTACCCTTCTAGCTGTTGCCCTGATACTGAACCCCAGAGGGAATGGGTCTGAGTATGTTCTAGGTCCTTGTGGGCCCTTTAAGCAGAGTCTTCAGAAAATCTGACAGTTTCTTCTGTGACTCCAACCCCTACTGATTTTCATAGCCATAAGTTATAGGGATTTATCTTCCTGGTGCTGGAACCCTGGGCTGTGTGGTCCAGCCTATGGATGATGGGATTACTTGCTCCTAAGGTATCCCTCCCGATTTTTATCCACCACAAGTGGGTGTGGGACCACCCGTTCTGCTGCTGCAGCCTTTCCGCACCACACCGTAGCTCCAGACCTCTCTGCCTGTCTCCGTTTCTCCGCCCCTCCTACCCGTCTGGATGAATATGGCTTCTTTAAATCCTTGGTTGTTAGATTTCCATACAGCTCTATTTTCTGAAAGTTCTGAGTGTTATTTCTTTTGAGGCCTAGTTGTAATTCTTTCTGTGGTTGCGCGAGGAGGTGAAATGTGTTTATCTAGGCCTCCATCTTGACTAGAAGTCTGTTATTACTTCTTTTAAATAATTCAAAAGCATACCCGTATCACAACACCAAAGCTCCTTCATTGGCTTGGCGGTAACCTTTCCTCTTCTGTGCGTCCTTTGTGCCCCTGTGATACTTTTTAGGACATTTGCCTTCCTTGGGAAACTGCTCCGAGCGTGGGGTGGTGAGACTGGCATGTGATAACTGAATAGGAGAGAAGCAACGGTGTTGGGGAGCAGTTTGCACGCCTTCACTGAATCACACGAGCCTGTCTGCGGCTTCAGGGGCTCCTTACGCACCAGGCATTGTTCTATATCGTGAAGATACAGCAGCAAGCAAGACAGACAGAAATCTCTGTCCTCATGGGACTTGCCTACAAATCATTGGTTTATTATAGAAGGATGTAACTCAGGAACAGCCAGAGGGAAGAGATGCATAGGGTAAGATGTAGGAAAAGGGCATGGAGTTTCCAGGCCCCCTGTACTGTTCTCCCAGAACCTCCCTGTGTTTGCCAAACCAGAAACTCTCCAGAGGGGGGGGCTTTAAATAATTCAGTAGAGATTTTACGGCTTGCTTCCCTTCTGGGTTTCCCTGAATTGGATCAGGTCAATTTGATTTTAATAAGACATGGAGAGGCTGGACCATTAATAAAAATTAATGGAATCCAATTGCAACAATATCCAGTCTAACCCAGGAATCCTTCAAGCTGCTTTTTTGATTTTGGAAGAGGAAAAGGTAAGATTCCTCTGAGTTTTTCAGGGTTAATTGGCAGCCTATATTTAGATATTAGACAACCATAGTATTTTACCTGGGTAAACAGAATCAGAGCTTGTCCCTTGATACCCTGTGTCCCTTTATAGCTAGCTGTTGTAATAGGTAAATTGTGTCCTTTGGAGAGTCTAGTAATTTCCTAGAGCATAAACTAAATTATCCACATATTAGATTAGAGTGGAATCTCTAGGAAATTTAATATCACTTAAACCAGCTTTTAGTATCTAAGATAATAGGTGGGACTTTCCGTATATCCCTGGGGCATTACTGTTCAAGTAAACATGTAATCTTCCCAGGTGAAAGCAAAGACAAAGACAAATATCTGTCTTCTACTGGAATACTGAAAAAGGAAGTACATAAATTTGTTACTGAAAAATACTGGCAGCTCACAGGAATAGCTGATTATAGGTTATGTGTATTTGAAACCATGGGATACTTGGGAATAACTATTCTATTTATAATTATGAGATTTTGCACAAATCTCCATTCTCTTCCATTGAGCTTCTTTACGGTAAGGATAGAATTATAGGGGCTTGTGCATGGAATTCTAAGTCCCCCTTTTAAGTAATCTTGTATAATGGCCTCAATTCCAGCTTGTGCATACAGGATATTGCTGACTGAAAGAGGCCTGAAGTTGCATTGGAATGCTCTACAACAAACATTCAGTCTCAAGATTATTTTCCTCCTGTGGAATTACCTTTAAAATTATTTTACTACCTTGTCCAGTACCCAATTTATTTATTCTTAAATACATTACACCCTCTTGGAAAAAAGGATATGTGGGTGTCACAGGTTTTCATAAAATCTCCTATCAGATTATCTGATTAGTAAAAATATATATTGCTTCATAACATTACCTAGTTGGGAGAGAACAGATTCTCATTTCAAAGCAGACACTGGTTGATTAGACATCTTTACCATCTGCCCAGAAGCTTCACCCTGAGCCAAGAAGCAACTCAGGTAGTTAAGAACAGGTAAAGTAGCCCCAGTGTTTACTAGGGGCTTAGTAATTTTAATTTCTCCTCCACTGCTAGTGAGGAGAAGGGGAAACACCTTTGCACAGTCCTCAGAGCAGCCTTGTGCTTGCTTCTGTTGCTTTTCTCTTTCTAAGTCCCATTCCATGTTCCTATCATCCTTCTTAAGGTGAATGACATCCTCTATAGGAGTTTTCCTGTGAACCCTATTTAGTACTCCTGTTGCTTTAGCACCCAGGAACCAGCCCGGAATATTCCAGCCAGGAACTGGAATAAGTTGAAATAGCCAGGAATATATATTCTAACAGTTAAGTTCCTTTGTGAACCCATCAGGATCCCAGAGAAAATTGGCGAAATTTTTAGGTAAGTTGCTTAATTCTGTTCTGGCCCAAGAAACGTATACAATTGTTGGTTCCCCTCTGCCTGAGACCAGTTTTTTTTTCCAGAGGGAGCTGCTAGAATCCCTGGATTATCCTTGTCTAAATTCCTATTTTCATTTCCCCCCAGATCAGTAGGGAGTGGTAATGGAGGAGATAAAGAGAAGATACAAGGGGAAGGAAGTAGGTAGGGGGAGGGCAAGTCTGGATGAGGAAGTTCAGAGAGCAAATATGGTGGAGGAGCTGTACAAAGGGAAGAAATGAAGAGTGGGCTCCTACAGCTACGAGGACTCAGAACACTAAGTGAGCAACCTTTCTATGCCCACCCCAGACGAGTCACTTGTTTAACTACAGTTAAGTTGGAATACCCTGTGGGGCTCCTATGCATCATGGGGGATGCCCCCTGACACCGCCACAGAGATTCTTAGTCACCCAAGAATACCTGAGATTCGGGCTGGACGGAGGAAGTGCTCCTTGCCTTCAGAGCTGAACAAGTTCAGGCTCTCTTTTACCCAGCAAAAGGCTTTTGTTCAGACTCTCAGAAAGCAATCCCAACTAAAAAGCCAAAGTTAAAAACCAGACACCCATTTTTCCTCTAGTCCCGCCTTAGCTTGGCTTTTCTTTCAACTCTTAACCTTTAGTTCTACCTCAAAGATTTTAAATGGACAGCTCAGCCTTGGCCAGGTGACTCGGTTCGTTAAAACATTGATCCGTGCACCAAAAGGTTGTTGGATCAATCCCCAGTCAGGGCACATACCTAGGATGTGGGTTTGATCCCTGGTCAGGGCATATACGGGAGGCAATCAATCAGTGTTTCTCTCTCATATCAATGTCTTCTTCTCTCTCTATTTCCCTCTTTCTCCCTCTCTTTTCCTCTCTAAAATCAATAAAAACATCCTTGAGCGAGGGTTTTAAAACATTAAAAAAAAAAAAAAAAAGACAGCTCAAATAAAATCAGGGCCTCTTACCTTCAGACAGGGAAGTCCAGAATTCCAACTGCAATTCACCCAATTTCACCCTTTGCAAAAAGAGGCGGTGAGGCACAGTGGGCCCCTGCTGGTACCTTGCAGGAGTCTCTGGGTCTGCAAAGTGGTCCTCCTGGGTGGGTTTCTTTGGAATCCCGCCAACTATACCAAGTAACTGTCAATATAAGAAATGTCCAACCCTGTAAGAATTTTTATGAGTTTATTTGAGCAAAACGTCAATGGATTGAGAAAATGTTCTGAGAAATGGCAGTTTTATACATTATAAGCAAAACAGAGTGGGTTACATGAAATCTATCAGTGATAGATTAGGGCAGTGGGAAAAAGTGAAGCGGAGGAACCTCTGGGATCAGATAAAAAGTAAAATGATAGACACATACTTCTTTTACATAGGTGGGTACAGGATAGTTAATAGTTAACAATTACTATGATAACAATAACAGTGAAGGGATTTGTGGTCTCCCTCTGGGGCGGGGCCTGTACTTGGAGGGGTGGGAGTGGGGGCAGGAAATTTTACATTCCCAAGGTATGTTATCGTAGGAGCAAAAAGATAATAGTCCTGTTCAGTTAACTCAAAGATTGACTTTTATCAGGGAACATTCTAGCCTAGGACATGACTGCCCGCCATGACCTGCTTTTAGTTAGGAAGTTTTTAATTTTGGTCTATCCTATGTGGCTATTTTAGATCTCTGAGTTTGTAAGGCAGGCCTCCCCTGAGCTTGTCAGGTTTGTATGTGGCCCCTTTTCATCCACAGAGACCACTGGTGAACTTGCCAAGGGCAGTTCCGGGGAATAGTGGTCTCTGAGGTACGGAGTAACAGGACAGAATAGAAGGTGAGGGCATGGAATGCAGACAGCACATTCAAGAGTTTTGTTGTTAATGAGCAGGAGGTAGAAGAGCTGATGGGACCAAGAGATATTCAGATGGGAGCTATTACTCCTTTTGTAGACGGGGAGCAATGGGCCTGGTAGGAGAGGGAGGAGACAATTATTGTGTAGGTGTGAAGAGGACAGGGTTGTATTCTGTTTGGAGCTTCTGCAGGTACGTGAAAGGGAAGATTCAGGCAATCAGAAAAACGTGATTCTGCAGATAAGGTATTCCCTAAGGAGGCAACTAACTGCTCTGAGTAAAGACTGTACACCTCCTTCTCTCCTTCCTTCTTTTACCGGAGCTCAGAGGGCAAGGATTCAAAGGTTTCTCCTAGGAAACAGATCGCTTCAGGTTGGGGGCAGGGAGGCCTTGCGGTTGGGCTGGGCGGGGCAGCCTCCTGCCTGACAAACGCTTGCACCACCTCTGCCCGGAAGAAAAACCTTTGGGTACCTCAGATCACAGCGGTACTCAGGGAAGCCTCCAGAGCCCACAGAGGAGCCAGCATGGTGAAGTTCGCACCCTTGTCCGTGCCATGGGAGCGCAGGCTGCAGACCCTGGCGGTCCTGCAATGGGTCTTCAGCTTCTTGGTCCTGGGTAAGGCCGGTTGGATTTGGAAACTGGGGAGTCCATGGGCACCTGCTACTTTAGGTGCACAGAGAGAACTGATGGTGGAAAGACATCAGTACTAAAGGGGGCTTTGTTGTGCTCTGAGTCCCTGAGAGACCTTTGGAGGATGTGATGTGATCTGGTGTGAGGGTAGGGTGGGGTAGAAGCCATCACCTGTGCCTTTGGGCAGGTTGCTTAGTTTTCCTGGGCTGTGGGTTCCACCTTAGTAGTAGGATGGAGCCTGTGGTGTGGAAAGGACCTAAGCAATTACAGGAGTGGAGTGAGGGCGCCTGGGGTGGGGGCGGGGGGTTGTCCCTTCAGGCCGCTCAGACTAATGGATTTTCTTCCTTTCAGAGATGAGGAAACTGAGGGGTGGGGTGGGGAGGTGGGGGGGGTGGGAGTTGGGGAAAGATAGGGAAAGGACAGAATGGGGAGAGAAGGAGCAGCCTGAGAGTGGACTGGGGTGTGAGCGGGATACCAGGCCAACCTGGGTCATAGTCCAGCTGGGCAGCTGACCAGCTGCGTGACCTTGGTAGACTCATGCCCGACCCTTCCAGGCCTCTATTTCATTCATCATCTGCAGCATGGGAATAGCAATGCTGACCTTACAGGGTCGTTGTGGGATGGAATGAAGAGATGTGCTTACTCTGCCCGGCACAGACCTGGCCTGTCTCTGGGGCTGGAATCACACAGGAGGGCCTGTCCCCCTACCTGCCCCACCCCCACAGTGAACACATCTGTTGTGGCTGGGAGGCCACACTTGCTCAAACTTCAGCTCTGCTGAAGGGAATGTGTTTTTGAGGAGGGCCCAGGACTAAGGATTGGGAAGAGAGAGCACCTGGGAGAACGTGGACTCTTCATTCATCTGCTGGCACCAGGCTGGGTCCACTGGTGACAAGAGTAGGACTTTTTACCTTATCGCTTATCCTGGGAGCAAAGAGGGCCCCCAGGAGGGCTTTGGGTAGGAGAGTGACAGGGCCCAATCTGTGTAAGGGCCCTGTGGCTGCCGCGGAAATATCTACTGCATTTGGGGTATGAGGGAACTGATCGATGGCAGGGAGCAGTCACGATCTAGATCAGGGGTTACAAAATTATGGCCCATGGGCCAAATCCAGTCCACTGATTGTTTCCATGTGTGCACAGTCCACGAGGTAAGAGTGGCTTTTACATTTTTAAATGATTACATTTTAAATGGTTATGTGACTATGTGATATCCTCCAGGTTGACGCCTGAGCTGCAAAGTCTACAATATTTACGGCCTGGCCCTTTAAGAAAAAATTTGACAACCCTGGCCTAGGTTGGCTGGCAGGGGGTGGAAAGAAGTGGTCTCTTAAGTCAAGAGATATTTGGGTGACGGGATCCAGAGGGCAGGATTTAAAGGCTGGCAGGAGAGTAAGGGCTTGCAGCTGGTTCACTCTGGAGTAATAGAGGCCTTTGGGGGACTGGAGAAAAAGCGGCCGAAGGAGTTAAGTAGGACCCGACACTGAGGACTCAGGGCCCAGAATCAAATACTTGCCCAAAGGGTCGCTTGTTTCCTGTCTGTTTGCTTTCCTCTCCTCTATAACGCACTCACACACAAGAACAACACTCACACAGTTTGTCTTGTTCTCCCCTGCATCTCCAGCTCCTAGAACAGTTGGAGTTGATACATGTTTGTTGAGTGTATAATAAATGGGAGCATGAGGTAGCCAAAATAACAGAATCGAATCCCAGGTCTTATTTTACTGGCTTGCTGTGTGACTTTAGCTGATTTGCATATCTCCTCCGGACCTTTGTAAAGTGACGATTTAAAAGTGAGTCTCCTTTCCTAAGTAACCTGCAGCCTGGGTTTTGCCTGCTAACAGGAGTTGCAGGGTGAACCCAGGGTGAGGGGACTAGTCGAGGAGGGGAAGGTCTTTCTGTTTAAGTGCAAGTACCCTGTGTGTTTCCACCACCCCCTTTTTTATTCCTGACTGCCAAACTAATACATGCCATTATAAAACCTTCAGACAAAATGTGTATCCTAAAAGTAAAAGACTTCCCCAAATCCTACCCTCCAGGTAACCACTATCAACAATTTGTTGTTACTCTCTAGAGCTGATTTCTTTAAAGTGGGAGTCACCCACACGGACTTTTCATTTTGTCCAAAGGGAAAGAGCCCTAACTGTGGTTCTTTATCATTTTTTTCACATTAAACTTCTTAAATGGGAAACATAAATAAAATTTAAACCCATCTCCCTGCCATCCTTGTCCCGGTTTCCTGTCTCCTTCTTCTTGATCAGCAGGAGCCCTCCTATCCTCTACGCATGTGCAACTACCTATGTGCAAGTGTTCTTTCCCAAGATCCTGAGACCTTGCTGAATTCACGAAAGTTCTGGCAGCTTCAGTAAATTCCTTAGGACAGTCCAGGTGTTGAATTGTGTGTCTGTGAAGAGAGACAGATCACTTCTTCCTTTCTGGCTTCAATGCTGTCTATTCGTTTTTCTTTCCACGGGGCACTGGCCAGGACTCCTAGGACGCATTGAAGGGAAGTGGGGACCTCCCTCCTTCACCAGGAAAGAGCATTGCAGGCAGGAAAGCATGTGCAAAAGCCAACAGATTGCAAGATCTCAGTGAGCTGTAGGAACACTGAGCAGTTTGGTGTGGCCAGAGCACTGGGTGTGTACATGGGTGAGGTGAAGCTGGAGCAGGAGCAGGGCTTGAACACCAGACCCAGCTGCTTTGGTCATGCCTTGGAGTTACAGAATAACCATGGGAGGCTCTCATTAGAGGTGGGACCTGGCTGGTTTTATCTTTGAAAAGGTGGGGTGGAGGGTGAACAGACGGAGGGTGGGGCAGAAAGAATGTCTGTGTTTTCTGAGATCCCAAAGTACAGAAACTAAAAGCAGTTCATACAATCAGTTGTCCACCAGGTGACTACTGATATTTACTGAGTACTTGGTGACTAGAGTTGGCCCTTGAATAACATGAGTCAGGGATGCCAACCCTCTGCACAGTCAAAAATTCATGTATAACTTTTGACTCCCCCCAAAACTTAATTACTAATAGCCTGCTGTTGACCAGAAGCCTTACAAATAACAAACTATATATATAGCATCATATATGTATTTTATACTGTATTTTTATAATAAAGTAAGGTAGAGAAAAGGAAATGTAATTAAGAAAGCCATAAGAAAGAGAAAACACATTTACAGGATTGTATTGTATTTATTGAAAAAGATCCACACGTAAATGGGCCCATGAAGTTCAAAGCCATGCTCTTCAGGGGTCAACTGTACTTTACTGTAGGGAGGAAAGGTGGAGGGGGAAGACCAAAGTGAATAAGGCAGCCCAGTGCAGTGGGAAAAAAATGAGTCTTGGAGGGTTAGGCCTACCTAGGTTCAAATCAATGCTCCCAATGTGACATTGGGCTAGCTGCATTCTGTCCTTGAAGGCTCGGGAAGCTGATCTCTTCTTCCTGGGAATGGGGGTGGTTCAGGACAGTGCTGCTGGCACTGAGCATAAAGGGAGATTCAGTCTGGGCGGTCTCATCTCTTTCCTCTCATACCTCTCACCTGCTTTCCTCCCTAGGTCAGCTCTGCATTGCGGTCTTCATAGGCCTCCTGTTCACAAGATTCTGGTTATTCAGTGTCCTGTATGCAACCTGGTGGTACCTGGATAGAGACAAGCCTTCGAAGGGTGGCAGGCGCTTCCAGGCCTTAAGACGCTGTGTCACATGGAAGTACATGAGGGACTATTTCCCTGTCTCGGTGAGTATCAGGGCTGGCTGAAGTGAGGCCAGGGCTATAGTGTCCCGCAACTCCATGGGGAAAATGGGGTCCTGTGTGAAGCAAGATGAGGTGAACTGGGGCAGGAGCTAGGGCTGCCACCACTACGCAGCATGGGGAAGAGTCCAGCTCTTCTGGCATAGTTTCCCATCTGTGGGGATGTGAGGCCAATATGAGGGTTGATGAATGCATAGGATTTGAAGGAGCTCTGTGGGGCATATAGTGTGGCACATATATGTATCTTATAGGTGTAAACCTCTCAGCAGCCCATATGTTTTTTGGAGGGAAGGATAATAAACTCAAGGTCCTAAGAGACCATCTAGCCCCATATTTCATCAGATGAGGACACTGACACCCAGAGGGAGAAGGCTGTGACCAAGGTCACGTAACAAGTTTTTCTGTTTTATTTTGTTTTGTTATTTACTGGTTTTAAAGTCTGTGCATGAACTATGGATAAAGCAGAAGGGGCGAGAACTCTGAACCAGCTCTCAGGTTCTCTCCTGCTCCTAACTCCGGTGTGCTCTGTGTCCTTGGGTAAGGCCTTGCCCCATTCTGAATCTCAGTTTCTCCATGTATCCACTAAGCAGAGTCATCTTTCCTACTCCGAGGGCCTTTGAATCTCTGACTTTCTGACTCAGGGCGACTCATGGCCATTGTGGACAATTGACCCTGGACCCAAAGATCAGTTCTGAGTGAAGCAGATCTTTGGATTTGGGTGAAGAGTCCTTTCAGCTCCTTTACTGAACCCCACACAGGCTATACCCTGGATGTAAACAGCTGAGCAGGGATAGTATATTGGCCAGATGGGATAGGATGGGGAAGACAGAAGGACACAGGGAGGTGTCAGACAGGACAGTTGGCTCTTCACTGGAAACAGGAAAGAAAAAAAAGTATAGAATGCGGCTTCTTGACCTAGACAGACTAGGTTCTAATACCAGTTCAGCCACACACCAGCTGTGTGACCTTGGGTGAGTTACACAGTCTCTCTGATCCTTAATTTCCACCCAGGCGAAGTGGAGACCATGCCACATACATCATGGGTTATGTGGATTCAATGAGATGGGGTAAAGTGCCTTGTAGGTTCTCAGCAACCTATTAGCTAGGGTTATTTTACTGAGTCAGTGGGGAGTCTGGGAAGCTTGGGTGTGGCTGCGGGTCTGATAGTCCAGAGCTGTGTGGCTCTGACTTTCACACCTGCAGGGCTTCTCCAATTCCATCCAGAGCTCCACCTCTTGCTGCCCTTCCGTGAGTTAGGTCCCCAGCTGGGGGAAGGAGTGGAAGAAATAGGCTCACAGAGGTTAAACAACTTACCTGCGTCATGGGCACTCAGTGGCAGTCAGTGCTCCTGCATTGCTCCCTTCTAAGAGTCCTGTGGCCCGACAAGGACTGGCAAAGACTGGGCTACACCTGGGTGCAGGAGCTCCTAACATCCCAGTGAGCAGGTCCTCCTGGGCAAAGGACAAGGGTGGGACCAGGCAGGGCAGGGCAGGCCAGCAGGGCAGGGGCTGGGCAGAGGGCAGCAAGTTGGCTGCCAGAGACTTTTGTGCTCCTGTGGAAAGGCAGAGTGAGTGGTCAGTGCTGAGCTAACCTGAGGGGTCCAGGTGGGAGGTGGTCTTCCTCACCCCCTGTAACTGCTTCCTCTGTAGTGTGCCCTTCCAGGATTTTGTTATCAAAGGCAAGGAGGGCTTGCTTGCTCTCCAGTTCCAGGAAGGACAGAATTTCTATGGGAAAGCGTGGTCTGTAACTTAGGAGTATGTGTGGACATCAACTTCCAAGCCAAAGAAAACTTAAGCTCTTTCTGGCCTCTAATAGAGCTTTTTGGGTTCTCACTCTGTGGTCTTACCTCCCACTGTGAGCTGAATCTTGAATTCACCAGGGAAAGAAAAAGACCAGCACAAGCACAGGCCCAGAAGCTGGCCACAGCATGGCTTTGAGCAGTAAGCCTAATAATGTTCAGTGTGACTATAAAGTAGAAGGTACTTGTGGGGATGAGGCTAAAGAGTTTTTCAGGGACAAGGTAGCAGAGGCCACTGAGGGACATTTTACAGACCTGGGACTCTTCAACTGAAATTCTTCAGAGGGCTGTCATCCAGGGGCTTGTAAAGGATAGTGTCTAGCTATTGGCACCTGGAGTTGCTGTCAGTTGCAGGTGTGGCAGAAGAAATTATGCTGAGGTGGCACAGTGCATATCCTTTCCTCTGCCTTTCCTGGTCCGCCCCCAGCCATGTTGCTTTCAAGGGGAGTTTCTCAGTCTTGGCACTATTGGGGGACATGCTTTGCAGAAATTCTGCTTGCAGTGTTTTAGGATTGATGCCCTGTACAGGCTTGTTGCATCACCACCTGCAGAGGGCAGGCAGTACCACCAAGTGGCCAGAAGAGGGCGAGATGACACACACTTTGGTTTCGCCTGTCCTAGGCTGGGAGTCTGCAGACGTGGGGCTATGGCCTGCAGGTTCCCTTCCCCATAGGCTCCCAGGAGACCCTCCAACTCTCCCAAAAGGCCCTGCAAGGACCTTGGGGTGGGCAAGAGGTAAGGAGTCTCAGCTCTGCTGGAGCTTAGCTGCATTCACAAGCCTCTGCACTCCTATCAAATATATATGGATTTTTGAGCTACTATCAGCTCTTGCTGTGATTTTATGAACTATTGTCTAGTGATAGGATTTCAAGCGAAATTAAGAAACTGTTTCTGGGCCCTGGAGTTTTCTAAACGGACCTTGTAGACTTCCTAAAGAGCTAATGTTGGAGAGTCAGGCAGTGTTTGGTGTAGGAGGAGCTGTCTCCACCTCATGATGAAGACCAGCCTGGGGGCTGGGTTTGTCCTGTGAAGATGTCATCATCCTAGAGCAAACCCTGTCTACATAGGGCAAGGCCTGAGTAGGGTCAGATCTGGAGGAGTCTGGGAGACAGACCTTTGTGGCCAGGGCTGTGACGTGGTGTCAGGAAATGGTGCTGTGCGGGCCACCTCCCTGACTCCCCCCTTCACGCACTTGGCATGACACTCAGTTCCTTCACAGCCCTGAAGGCATCACTAGGGACTTACTGCCCCACCTCCCAACCCAGCACACTGACTTCCCTTAGCCCAAGTCAGAGGGACTCTGGTGGCTGGCCGCCCACCCAGGACAGAACTCCGGCCTACGTAGCCCTCGGACGGGGTGCTCATTTCCTTCTGTGATGACTCCTTTCACCAGGCTGGGCGGGGGGGGGGGGGGGGGGGGCGGGGTGGGGCGGGGGGGGGGGGGGGGGGGGGGGAGGCTCTGCCTGTGAGGTCTTCCTTCACAGGAGATGGGGCCTGTCTTCTGTGACCCTCTCAGGAGTCCTACCTCTGTCATGGACACCAGGACCTGGCACAAAGCACAGCTGTCCCCTCAGCCCTAGGGCTGCCCTGCAGGAATTGGGGCCTCCATTCCCGTTGACTTCCACCATCCACTGCCTTTGCTACTACTCCCTCTTCCAGCCAGTTAGCTCTCAAGGAGACTGTCTCAGCACCATTGACATTTTGGGCTGAATGATTCTTTGTTGTCTGTGTATGGGGGGAGGGGGAAGGATTTCTGACTTCATCACACTCCCCTCTACCAGTCACGACAACCAAAAATGTCTGTAAACATTACCAGTTGTCCTTTCTGTGGGGGTGGGGGACAAACTGACCCTGGTTGAGAACTGCTGCCCTATGGCCTGGGCTATGTCTCCCAGACTCCTCCAGATCTGACGCTTCTCTCTTTCCAACGAAGTCCTGACCACAGCTCTCTCTTTACCTGGACTCCACTTCTGCCAGCCGTCCCCATACTCCATGTAGCCAGAACAAACCTCATAAAATTTAAAAAGAAAGGAAGGAAGGAAGGAAGTCCTCCCATTACACTCAGAATAAAGTCTAATTTTGGCCTCAGTCTGCAGGTGCCTGCACTGCAGACCCTTGCTCACTCCTCAGCTGCCTCTCCTTCCTCCTTTGCCACCCCAGTTCTCCACAGCTGAGCTGCGTCACTTGCGCAAATACCTTATTGCAGTGCACTCCTTTGCCCCATTAAACCCCGCTGCACTTCACCTGGGGACTCCTACAAGGCGGTGGGGCCCACTGGTCACACACACACAGCCACTCTGCCCATGTTGAAATCCTGCCTCTGCCACTTATTAGCTATGTGACTACAGCAAATTAATTAATCTCATGTCTCAGTTTCCTCATCTGTAAAATGGGGGCACTGGTGCTAATACTTCCCTCACAGTGCTAACAGAGGAGGAAGCACGGTGGCATAGTAGGTGCCTGGCACACAGTAGGTGCTGAGAATTCCCCACCTTGGGCCCTCTTCCCAGCTCAGTGCCTGGCACACACTGTACTTCTCCAACTCTAGGACATCCTCAGTGGTAAAACATACCAGTATTTTAGGTACCACTAAGAAAAACAACTTCTAATTAGAATTGTCAAATGCACCTTTACAACAAAATGTTAAGGTGTGAAAAAAAGGCGCATCTTAGAATTGAGGAAATAGGTTTGCCGTTGCCAGTGAGTGTTAACTGAGTGCATGGCTGTGGAGAAGCGAGAGGACAGGGCTGAGAACTTACCAATGGAGAAGCCTGGGGAGGCCAAAGCCTGGCCTGAGCCACACTGAGCCACTGCCAGGGATAGGGACAATACCCAAGCCTTCCCTTCCATCTGGCTATGATAGGAGGAGATAGGGAAGGCCAGTCCCTACACACACACACACACACACACACAGCCAATTGCCTGAATTCAGAAGGGGACTCCTTGGGTTTATTTATTTTTATTTTAAAAAAAGGTTTTATTTATTTTTAGAGAGGGGAAGGGAGGGGAAAGAGAGGGAGAGAAACACCAGTGTGTGGTTGCCTCTTGTGCACCCCCTACTGGGGACCTGGCCTGCAACCCAGGTATTGAACCAGCGACCCTTTGGCTCGCAGGCCGGCATTCAATCCACTGAGCCACACCAGCCACGGCCAGGTTTTGAGTGGTGATTCACATAGATAGGACTCCCCTGGGAAATTTGTCACAAACCAGATGCCCAAAGCCAGAATAGAGCTTTTGAATCAGACCCTGCTTGCCGTGTATTTTTACCCTGTTGAGTTATCGGGGTGCATTAGTAGGCCAGGAACAGGTTCTTCAGGGCCGGGTTGCTGATGCAGGAACTGCATCCTGGAGAGGACGCCTGAGTGCCCTGGGCCTTCCAAGTGTGTGCAAAAGGAGAAGGCTCCCAGGTGGCGCCGGGTCTCGGGCTAGCTCCCTGGGTCTGCAGCAAAGGCTTCCTGGCTCTCGCTGGTGTTCTCTGCGGGAGACGGCTGAACTCAGACTCATCTGTGTGGCTGTGGGCAGGTCATTTACCCCTCAGCATCTCAGTTTGCTTCACTGTTCCCTGAGGGCTCTCACACTGCAGCCAGCCCCCCGAGGGCTGTGGTTAGACATGCTGGTTGTGTGGGTGCTTTGTGACCCATGAAGGAGCTATCAGGATAGTGGGCTCTTGAGACATTTGGGTGGCCCCATGGAGGTGAGGGGGCACAAGGACATTTGTCAAGTGATGGGAGTGGGCAGGCATAGTAGGGCCATGACCTCTCACTCTCCTCCCTCCCATCCAAGGTCCAGTTGTCCTCACCTGGGGAGCCTGTGCAGTGTCTACTAAGCAAAGGGCTTCGGACTCAAAGTAGGGACACGCATGGGAGACTGAAAACATGTTTACACAAAGACTTGTGCACGGTGTTCATGGTCACATTATCTGTAATGGCCAAAGACCATTAAATGGACAAATAAAATGTGAACATAAAAAGGAATAAGGTACTAATAGAGGCTTCCACATCGATGAACTTTGAAAACATTCTGCAAGGCAAAAGAAGAAAGACACAAAAGGCCATATATTGTATAATTCCATTTATATAAAATGTCCAGAAGAGGCAAATCCGTAGAGACAAACAATAGGCTAGTGGTTGCTGGGGGCAGGGGGAGAGGAGTGACTGCTATGGATTTCTTCCAGGGATAATGAAAATGCTCTAGAATCAGATGGTGGTGGTGGTTGCACACCTTTTAAATACATTAAGATCACTGAATTGCACACTTAAAAAAGGTAAATTTGATGTTATATGAACTATATAAATAAAAAAACCAATCCCCAAGGCCTAGCGACTGGGCCATCCCCTCCTCCACTGCCTACTGCCTAGTGCTAAGCCCAGCCCGCGAGGACGTGCGCCAAGGAGGATTTTCCCCAGCCACCCACCTTTGCTAAGGCACACTCCCTGCCCCTAAGAGAACGGGGGAGCAAGGCAAGGAACACAGCACTTTGCAAACCTTCTTCCCCCTCTATGTTTTCCATGCCTGAACCCAGTCACAACCTTGCCAGAAAAGCATTATCACTGTCCTCATGGAACATAGAGGAAACTGAGGCATGGAGAGAGCGGGAGCTGGGCAAAGATCATGTGATGGGCCAGGGGCAGCATCTGGGTCTCATGACTCCCAGCTCAGTGGAACCCAGGTGACACGTCAGAACAGGACTGGGGGCAGGTGCTGGCTGCGTCGGCCTCATCTGTTCATGGAATCCTTCTTTCCTTCCTGCATTTCAGTCTCTCAGGGAACATCTCCTCTATTTCCGGCCTGCACTGGGACACAGAGATGCCTTAGATGGGTGCGCTCTAATCTGAAGACCCTCGCTGTGATGGTGGGCTATCACTTGGGCTCGGGGGACAGACAGAAGAGGTTAGCCCAGAAAGTCGGCAGGAGAGACGCAGACCAGGCCTCGGTGGCATAGCGACCGCCCATGCAGATGCATGAGCAAATACTGGTATGCTTGCCTAGCCAAGGGCCCCCCGCCCACCAGGATGGCTCTCTAGACACAAAAGACTTATTTGTTAAGGGGATAATCCTTCCTTAATTTGTTCATTTACTTTATTCATTATTCCTTTATTGTTCATTTAAAATAGTTAATACACCCTTGTTCAAAATTGGAAAGGGAGAAAAGGGGATGCAGTGAAAAGACCCGTCCCACCTCCCATCCCATCTCCCCAGTTCTTTACCCAGAGGCAACTGTGACAGCCAGTGCTGGGTGCATCCACATACCAGCACAGCAGGTGGCAGGCTGCCTGCTTCGGCTCGCCCCTGGCTGTTTCACCTGACAGGCGATTGTGGAAGTCTTCCCCCCTCAGGGCGGGAAGAACTGTGTCATACTTTTGCTATGGCTGCACAGAAGTCTATCATGTAAATGTTTCATGATTTGTCTAAACAGGCCCTGTTGATGGACATTGGGTGGAAGCCAAGTTTTTACTATTACCAAAAACAAAAACAAAAATGATGCTTCAGTTAATCTTGTTCCGTTGTCATTTGCACAAGCATGAGAAATTCTGTAGCTAAATTCCCCAGCGTGGAGTTGCTGGGTTGAAAGGACAGCTTCATTTTTGGGGTTGTGATAGATATGGCCAGATGGCCTTTAGGGAGGCTGTACAAAATTACCGTCCCTCTAGCTGAGAAAGAATATTTATAAGTAAGTGCTTTGGTGCAGGGAGCCAGGTGTGTCTTTAAAGAAACAGCACCAGAGGGGTTCCTGAGGAAGCTTGTTTCCCAGTGGGGAGGTGAGAAATCTCTGCTTATATGTCTTTATTTTAACATCCGATAAATGCCCACTGCGTGAGTGGAAGAGTTTTGTCCTTGTCTGGAAGGCAATGGTCTCTGCAGCCTTTTTGCAAAGGGTCAATGGTTAACCAAAGGGCCTGGGGTGGGGGTGGGGGTGTGTGCAGAGACCAAGTCCAGGTCAAGGACAGGAGAAGCTGGATGGGGCAGAGAGGTCTGCTGCCCCCTAGACCCCTTCAGGCTGCTCTGAGGGTGGACAGTCTGGCTTCTGGGGCCTCAGAGACAGCGACGCGAATCCTCAGCGACTCACTCGCTTGGGGCCTCAGGACCTTCAGACTCTGATGCCTGTGACTCCCAGCGGGCAGGGACCTATAAAGGGTGGGCGCTGCGGTTCCTGGCAGGGTGAGGCAAGGAGCGGTCCCCCTGCCACATGCACGCACACACGCACGCACGCGCAGTCGCTGCCCACAGCGGAAATCCTTGCAGACCCAGCACATGGCAACCCGTTCAGTAACCGGCCAAGAGCAACATTTGTTAACTCAGTTCCTGCCGCCTCCACTCACCCCACTTCTCCTGGAAACTGCTAATGACAAACAGCTCTCCTCTCCCACTCAACCTACCGTGTCAGGTGGTCGCCGCTACCCACTCCGTGCTGCAGGCCTGCCCAGGCCCAGGCAAACTTCTGCGCCAACAGAGCTGCCCATGGCCGGGGAAAGAGTGGACAAAGGGTAGTGAAGGTCTGGCGTGAGGGGAGCAGAGAGCCATGGGTGATAAATAGGAGAGGGATAAATAGGACTAGAGCTGGCCTCCTGGTCCACAACCTAACAAGAATCTTCTCCTCATGGATCTTTCAAGTGCTCACTTTCTGGCTGTAAGTGCCAATGTTCCTTATATTGAGTCTTGTAAAATGGGGCTCCTCCAGCATGGTGGCGCCCCCGTGTGGCCAGCCATTTGGTGCCTTCAAATTATATCTTGTCTTGGTAATTCCAGGGTACCCTCGGACCTGAGCTTCTCAGCAGTCCTGGAAGGTAGGTGGGACAGGGCCAAATGCCCCCATTTTGCAAAGGAAAAGCCTGAGAGGGAAGCAATTTGTCCAAAGCCAGCTGCGAGTCTGAGACACAGCCAGCACTGGTGGTTCACCAGGTGCATTCACACACCGTGTCTCAATCTCCATGAGAAACGGAGGCTCAGAAACTGGGAGTGACTTGCCCAAGATCACACTGCAGAGCATTAGTATCAGAGTGGGGATGCAGGTCCAGCTCTGGCTCACTAGCTTATTGTCCCCGCAGCTGGTCAAGACTGCTGAACTGGACCCCTCCCGGAACTACATTGCTGCCATCCACCCCCACGGGGTCCTGGCCACCGGATCCTTTCTCAACATGTGCACTGAGAGTACGGGCTTCTCTAAGCTCTTCCCTGGCATCTGCCCCCACCTGATGATGCTGAATCTGTGGTTCCGGGCCCCCATCTTCAGGGACTACCTCATGTCAGGGGGTGAGTCTTCCCCACCTGGGTAGCCTAGATAAATGAGACTGGAGGCATGGGAGGAGGGAATCTTAGGAAGGGCTACCAACAGTTCCCTCTGCCTTCTGAGAGCATATGCAGTGGAAGGAGGAGGATAGACCCAAGGAAGCACTTCCCACAGCACTGAGCAGGGCAGTGAGTTTGGCAAGGGAGGTTAGGAATGAGGGAGAAGACTCAGTCCAAGGCCTCAGGGAACTCCCAGCTGGAGTGGGTGGGGCAGGGGACCCAGGCCTCTGTAGGCACTTTTGATGATCTCTTTCTTGGGCCACATCCACCCTCACAGTCCCCGCTCCCTCACCTCTTATCTGACCACCTTCCTCTCTCCCCAGGTCTCGTCACATCAGACAAGGAGAGCGCCGATTACATTCTGAACAGGAAAGGCAGCGGCAACCTGCTGGGCATCATTATTGGGGGTGCCCGGGAGGCACTGGACGCCAGGCCCGGGGCCTACACACTGCTCCTGCGCAACCGCAAGGGCTTCGCCAAGCTTGCCTTGATGCACGGGTATCTGGGAAAAAGGCCCTCAGTTCAGTTGAAGATTGGCAAGGATTTTATTTTGGTGGGAAGACAGCAGAGACTAATGGAGTTTCTATTTTAGCAGGGAGGTCTCTCAGTCCATTCACAATGCAGGTGACACTTTGGTGAGATCTGCACTGTCTCATGCCCCAATACCCAGAAAATGGAGTCCAGACTGGAGACGTAGTGATGAAAGGGCCTAAGTGGGAAGGGACATGTTGCCCAAAGCCAGCACTAGATCTGAGACCTATGGGATCTGGGGGATTGGAGTTTGGGGCATAACGCAGGGCTGCTCTCCTATCTTGAAGCGCCCGTGACGAGTCCGAGCTAGCTGGGGCAGGGGAAATTTTTCTACAGAGCTGGCAGGCGTTTTCTATCCGGGAGGATTCTGAAGCATTCTTATCTATCTGTTGCGGTACAACTGGGAGGTCATGGCTCTGCGAGGGGCCAGGACCTGCCCAGGGTCAGAAAGCAAGACTCTGACAGGTCTGGGAGACAATCTATGACTCTTACTTCCAGCCCAGGGCTCTGTCCTCTGCTCCAATTCTTGGTCACTGGGTCCCTGCGGGAAGCTAGGTGACCAGCTGGGGTCTTCTTTCGAGCCTCCAAAATGCCTTCTCTCCTCTCTCTCCCTCCAGGGCAGCTCTGGTGCCAGTCTTCTCCTTTGGGGAGAATGACTTGTATGACCAAATTGAGAACCATCCTGGCTCCTGGTTGCGCTCGATCCAGAACCGGCTGCAGCAGATCATGGGTATTTCCCTCCCGCTCTTCCATGGCCGTGGCATCTTCCAGTATAGCTTTGGTTTATTACCCCACCGCCGGCCCATCACCACCGTGGGTAAGCCAAGATCCAGGCTGGGAGAGGGTAGGCTACCGGAAAAGGGGCCTGGGCTGTGAGCTATAAGAGGACACAGGGATAGGCCACGCATATCCTTGCCCTCCTGGAGCCCACCTCCTGGACTGGGAAGTAGACACACATAACCCCAATATGAGGCAGCCTGGGATGAGAACTATAACAAAGGCACAAAGAACAATGGTCACTGCTGATTACTGAGCACCTACTGTGTGCCAGGCATTACACAGGCTTCCTTACATGCAGTGGCTCCATTTATCCTGACAACCTTCCAGGCAGAGACTATTATCCCAATTTCATTGATGGGAGACTGAAGCTCAGTGAAGTAATTTCCAAAAAATCACACTGCCTTTGAAAACAAAGTTGAGGTTTGAATCAGGACCTATTAGACTTTTTATTATGCCGCAAAAAGAAGGTTTAATTCTGACCCAGAGGATTAATAAGGCTTATTGGAAAAGGTGGATACAAGGGAAGAGCATCTCAAGTTTGTTAGAATTGTGTGTAAAATAGAGATCAATAGGCCTAGGTTAGAGCTGGGAGGTTTTCCTGTAAATAATGGATGTGAGCTCTAGTGCTTGGACTTAACGCCATGTTTTCCAGCGATTTGGACACCTCATTTGCTTTCTTCTTGGATTCCGACTAGCTTCCCCTGACAAAGCCAGGAGAGAGAGGCCACTTCATCTCCATCCCCCCACTTATTTGTTAGCTGAGCACAGACCTGGTGATCCCACATGCCATGACTCTCCCTGTGTCGTGCGGCAATATTTTCATGAACACTAATCCTGCCGCTGCCTCCAAAGGCTATTACCAAGAGGAGGGGTTACAGGAGCTGCCTTCTCAGCCAGGCAGAACCAGAGGAAGGAGATTAGTTGGGGCCTTCCTGACTCCTCCCTAGAATGAAGGGCACACTGCCCACCAGTGTGGAGGGAGGAGAGGGGGGAAGAGCCGCCTGGGCTGCGGGCCCACCTCATCCTAGAAATATAGGCACTTCTAAGCATGGCATGTTAGACTCCTAGAACCATGTGGCCTGGAGGTTAAGAGCACAGCCCCAGGGCTTAAAACCTGACACTGATTGTTCCTGGCTATGTGGCCCTTAAGTAAGAGAGTTACTTAACCTCTCTAAGCCTCATTGCCTCACCTCTCAATGGGGATCATAACAGGTTCTATCCCCAGGTGATTGTGATGAGAATTAGAGGGGATAATGCACGTAGAGCACCTCACACATTCCTAGGCACTTTTCAATGCCAGCTGGGGGGTCATGTCGTTATATCTGAATCTTGGAGTTGCTGTAACATCTTAGAATTCATCACTTGAAATACGGTTGAAGGGGATGGCAGTAAGAGCGCTTTCCTGCAGGATGACCACTGCAGTGGGCACCTGCCCCAAGGGCCCCTGTCCTGGGCCACTGCCCCTCTCTGTGTTTTGCAGTGGGGAAGCCCATCGAGGTGAAACAGGTACGGCAACCCTCTCAGGAGCAGGTGGACAAGCTGCACCAGCACTACCTCAACGAGCTGTACAACCTCTTTGAAGCCCACAAGCACAAGTACAATGTCCCTGCGGACCAGCACTTGAAGTTCTACTGAGCGCCTGCCCAGAGGAGGGGCTGCCCCAAAGCGCAGGGCTGGCACGAGGAAGCCCAGTGGGGGGTGCCGTGCTCTGAGAAGGCTTCCTGGAAGCACTTGTTGAACATCGCTCTCGAGTCTACAAAGACTCCTGCAAATCCATTCCTAAGTCACAGCTGGCAACATGCGAGGGACGACTGGACTCTGGCACCGGTGGCTTGCCTTCCGCTGAGAAACCTCTGCAAGTCCCCGTCTCCTTGGTCTGCTCATCTGTGAAATGGGAGAGAAGGCTGGAAGAGAATGACTTCTGAGGCCTCTGCCCTCTGTTGTAATGTCACTCAATGGGCAGAGAAAACAGAGAGCACCTGACTACCAGATTTTTCTTTCTCTGCCTTGAGTGACGGCACAAAAGAAGCCACCAGTGCCAGTCCTCTCTACTGGCTCCCTCACCCTACGCGCTGGAGGCCCCAGCTCCTTCCCCACAGAGCTGGGTAAGGAGAACTGCGCTTGCTTACTGACTGCATCTGTGGACTTTTCACTCTCCCTCTGAGCCTCAGTTTCCCTGACTAACAAATGTGACCTCTGAGTCTCAGCTCTGACCTCACATTGGCTGAGAGCTCCATGAGGTACCTCTTACTTGTCCTTTGTAATTTCAGCCACTCACCTTAGCACAAAAGGGGGCTCCATCAACTTTAATTCAATAAATGAAAGGATTCTGTTTTAGCCTTCTTCTCTTTCACACCAACAACTAAGAGACGCCCTGACCCCAGCCTGACCCTGTGGCCCTGCCTCATCGTCCCAGAAGATGGGTCAGAGAATGTCATGTTGACTCTTCTTTCCTGATTTGTCAACCCCAAGCTTACCTCCTGGTCCTGTCCTGTTGGGGAAGAGGGGAAAAAGGTATATTAAGACACAGGGCAGACCAGGACAGAGAATGAAGGCGAGGCATGAGGAATGGATGTTTATATGTGTCTGCAGGTGGGTGAATGGGGACAAGTGTCCTGACAGAAAGAATTCTGGATTCCTGGGTTTGGAACAGCCATAAAGGGACAGGGTGACTGGGCGAGTCCAGTACTTTTGAGTCCCCCTCATCCTCCAGCAGGGAAACAGGGCCCTTTCCCTCCAGGAACAGATCATACCAACCACTACAACACAGGGCCATTCTGAGAAGTGTACATTTGGGTTCCAATCCTGGCCCACCCTTTTTGAGTAAGTCTGGGCCAATCTCATCACCTCCAAGCCTCAGTTTTGCCTTGTGAGAAATGAGGATTACAATATCCACCTCCAGTGCTGTGAGCATAAGATACTATTTTGAGATTATAAGCCACTCCACATCCTGTTGAATGACAGAGTATGTGTAAATTAGGAGTCAGGTGATGAGTCTACCTGTGTCTCACGGAGGTGCTTGTTATTCTATAAGGCAGTGTGCTGTGCAGGTCACCAGGGAAGCGGGGGTAACGAATAGTGAGGTGCAGAGGAGGTGGGATGCTCTCCAGCCAGGGGAAGACTTGGAGGACGTGGTAGGTGGGCAGGGCCTTGAAAGAAGGACAAAACTTACAAAGGAGAGAAGTACCTGCCCATTGTAGTGACCTGTTGCTGTGTGATGAAGCACTGCAACACCTAATGGCTGAATATGACAAGGACTTACTGTTTCTCCCAAGCCTGTGGGTCGGCTGTGGCTCTTTCGGGTCTTGCCGGGGCTCTCATGCAGCTGCGTTCGACGGTGGGTCTGCTGGCGCTGGGGCAGCTGCGGGGCTGGACCCGCCAGGCCTGTCTGTGCAGGCGGGCCCTGGGCCCCTCTCCGTGCTGACCCATCTGTCGGCGTTCCGTGGCAGCTGGTCTTTTGAAAGAACGAAAGCGAGTTTGCAAGGTCTTTCAAGTCCCAGGCTGTACAACTTGCAAAGCGTCATTTCCACTGCATTCTGTCCATCAAAACAAGCCACAAGGCTGCCCAGATTCAAGGGGAGAGGCATAAACTCCAGCTCCTCCCAGAAGGAGCAACAAGGTCACAACACAAACAGCCGGGGGACACCCTGGGGTGGGGGGGTTCTTGTGGTCGTCCTTGCAAACAATCTACCAAAAAGTTATCAATGAAAACCTGCATCAGAACCGCCCCTCCCCACATACCTAGGAATCATGACAAAAGCCGGGGTTTATCCAGAGGGCCCAGCCCCGCCTCCACAACGCTGCCTGTCCTGAACCCATCCGTCACGCACAGCCACGGTGAGCTGTCCGAAAGGCAAATCTGACGGCGTCACCCCTACTCAGAATCCTTCAATGGCTCTTCACAGGGTCCTAGGGTTTGTACAATATCAGCCTGGATCCCAGCAAGGACCAGAAGGCATACTGAAATGAAGGTAATTTTTTAAAAATCCTCACCAGAGGATTTGTTTTTATTAGTTTTAGAGATAAAGAGAAGGGGGGGGGGGAGAGAGAGAAAGAGAGAAAGAGAGACATCGATGTGGGAGAGAAATATGGATCAGTTGCTGCCCCCGTATGCCGCCAGACTGGGGATCAAACCCGCAGCCTAGGTATGTGCCCTGACAGGGAATTGAACCCGCAACCTTTTGATATATGGGACGATGCTCCAACCCAGCCAGGGCTGAAATGAGGATACTTTGAGGAGGGTTGAATAAAAGAACAATTTTCTGGCGTGCGCCCAGGGTGTGGGAAAGCACACAGGATGGCGCACTAAGCCAAGGCCGGGCCGGGCAGTGGGGCAGAGTACTGCCACCACCCTGAGGCCTGGAAGGACAAGCAAAGGCAGCAGTGACCTGAAGCAGGAAAGTCGTGGGCAGGGGTTATTACTGCAGGGAAGGACCAGGTAAGCGTTCCCCACCTCCTCCTCCTCCCCACACCTCCTGCCAAGGCTCCCTATTGCCTGAACCCAAGTGACAGCCAGAGGGCCTGAGGGCCTGTGGCAGCAGCCCACACAGGTAGGTCTCCCAGGACGCAGCAGGATGGACACCCGTGGAGAGTGGGTCTGCAAGGATCAACGAAGATGCCCCCCTCCAAGCCCAAGCTCCTTAGCCTGCCCTTTGCCTCCCTCCACCATCTGGCCCAGTCCTCCCCTTCCTCATCTCCCCTCTCCCCTCATCAGACTGAACCGCCTGCACCTGCGCGTTTCAGCCATGCTCCCTCTTTAGTCTCTGGGCTCTGGCTGCAATGCCATCTCCTCCATTCCCCCTCCCCCTTTGTCTGGGTAATTCCTACTCATTCTTCAATACCGGATTCATCTATTCAGGGAAGCCTTTCTCCCCTAACACTTGCGGTTGACTAGGGGTTCCCCAGACTGCCCCTTCCTCCGCCACCACACCCAGCACCCTGGGCGGTCACCGGGTAAACCCTGCGCACTGATGCTCCTGCCTCCAGGGCTCTCCTCCAGCCCACCCACACGCAGCATCTGTGTCCTCTCTCCCCACAAAAGCCAACTCCCTAAATTGGTCTCCAGTGCCTCCAGAGAGGTCTAAAGTCCTCCTCAGCCTGGTATCGGAGGCCCTTCTCATCCTCCTCCTTGACCTTAGCAGCTTCACCTTCCAGACCTTCTCCCCTGCACCTCATCACCCCCTGCACCCTTCACTGCTCGCTGAACATGCTCTGTTCTCGGACCTGCTCTGTTCCCGGACCTGCTGTGTCCTGGGGCACGCTAGACCTTTTTCCCAGAACACACTTTCTCCTCCCGCTGGCCAACCTTACTGACCCCCAGGCCGGCTGGGTGGCCGAGGAGTTGTGCCACGGACCCCCATCCCCACCCCTCTGAATGGGGCCTTGAGAGCAAGCGCGGAGTGCCAGCGACAGCCTGCGGCCTGCTCGCTGCCTGTGTGCCCAACGCCGCGCACGCTGGGCCCAACCTGCCCTCAGTGCTGTGAAAGTTCACAGAGAAACATGGTGGGTAACAACAGAAAATGGTACTGGAACAGTGGGAATCAGCAATTTTGCACAGGAAGCTTTGGGAGATGTTGGTTATTGTAGTCTTCCTAGAATGGGGGCAAAATTAAACAAACGAGATGAGTTTGGCCCTTCGGAAAGTGTGAAAGCTGCTAGTGAGCTCTATTCTCCTCTATCAGGAGATGTAACTGAAATGAACGAAGCTCTTCCAGAAAATCTGGACTTGTCAACAAATCTTGTTATGAGGACATTAAGATGACACTGAGTAACCCTTCAGAACTGGATGAACTAATGAGTGAAGAAGCCTATGAGTCATACAGAGAGCCTACTGAGGAGTGAAAGCAAAACTCCCTAAACAAAGTAGCATGAAACAACTTGATCTAGAATAGTTGTCTTAAGTGGTGGGCGTAAGATTTAAAATAGCAACTTTTAGTAATATTGAATGGAAAACAGTAACGAAAACAATGCTGTTGGAAGGGAATACCCCTTAACTTTCTAATGATTGCAGATAAATACAATATGCACCCTTTGATTTTTAGTCTAGGCTACAGTTATAATATTCAGATTTCCTGAAATTATCTGTGGTAAAATATAGTTATAAAAATTATATAATTCAAAGATAACATAAGCCTTCTATAACCTTATTGTAACCTGCTTACATTCATCTCTGGATTTGGGTCAAAATACTCAATGACATTTCCATTGGAAATAGCTGGGAGTGGACAAAAGTTTTTCATTGTTGTTATAGTGTCAGATGATAAATAATACTATCTTGATTTTGCAAGATACTGAGTTCACTGGTGCTATTTTTATACAGTGAAGCAAGCAGCCTTGCAGGAAAACAAGGAAGTTTAATAATAAACCATTCAATTTCATTTTTATAAAACTTCACTCACCCCCAAAAATCATCTCCCTTGTCAAACCTTGGCACAGCCCACCTACCCTCCAACCCTGCTTCCCCACCTCGCTGTCCTACATCAGAGTTAATTACCCCTCTTTTAGGCCACCTGTGGGGGTGAAGCGGGCACGATCATTAATGGGTCAGTGGACTCCTCTGTGTCCCAGGGGCCCGGGAACCCTGAGGACCAAGCCCGTATCCTTGCAGCCCTCAGCCCCATCCCAGCACTCGGCAC